ACAGATGCGACTTATGCTTAAAGGTAGAAAATCTTCATAATCAAACATAAATATCCAGACATACTACTAAATAGACACAATGAACTAGTCTTTAAATGCCGGCACAAAAACAACCTAAGCCTAAGCAAATACATTGAGAAATAATCATATAGGAAGAGCAATTTTGAATATTTTGTATTCCGTTTGTTTTTAGAAATATTACTATGCACACATGAACGCTAACACATGACTATATGTATACAACTATGGTAATGTATTTGAACACTGAGACACCTGTTGATATGTACATGTATATGTTTTTATATGGAAAAAGAAGCATACCAGGGTTTTTTTTTTAGTGTGGAGGTGTACAATTAGATAGGTACTTATATGTTTTGCCATAAATATGAAAGAGCCGGTAATATTATATGTGTAAAGATATGGATAATGTAATTAAATACTGAGATAGTCATCGAACGCAGGCATAAGTGGGTGCACGGGTGGACATGAGGATAGGGACATGTACGTGTGTAGATATGTGTAAGTGCAAATTAACGCATATGTGTGTATGTAGATATGCTGCATATTACGTATATATATGCATGTATGTGTGTGTATGTATATGTATGTATGTATGCATATATGTGTGTGTGTGTATGTGTATATGTGTATACATATATATGTGTGTAAATGTATATGTGCGTAAGTATATGGATGTATATGGCTATACAGGTGTTCTTATGTGTATATGTATATATGTAAGTATAAGTGTATATGGAGATATGTATGGAGATATATAGATATGCGTTTCTCTGCAGGTGTATATGTGTAAATATAGAAATATACATAGGGTTTTTTCGTGTGAATGTGTGTGCAGGTGTATATAGGAACTCATAGGCATATAAGAAAATATAGGTATGTGGAGATAAATAGGGGTTTAAGACATGTGTAGATAAAAGATTGTAAAAGAAGGACCTAATTTTCTGCTAGTGACATCTCATCCAAATCTCTCCTCTAATATTCTCCAATTGGAAGTGAGTTTTAAATAGCACGAAGGTAAAGTTTAAATTGGTATTTTAATTTAGATTGAAATATACTATCCCATTATTGATGATAAAATTATTTAAATGGGAATAACCGTTGATAATTAGGTACATAAAAACAATCACGAGTTTACTAAATGAACAGAAATCAAAAACAATCACGAGTTTACTTAATGAACAAAAATCAAACGAATAGATGTCAACCTAACAAGCAATAAAATAAAAGTTTTAGTAGAATAAAAAAGATTACTAAATATAAAATGGATTACTCCTTCAATGTACTGTCTATGAATTTTTCCAATCGACTGTTTCATAGAAAATACCCAAAACTCCACCGAATTTCAAATTAATTTCTTCGTAGATTGTTTAGACATTTAGATATTTATCAAACCTTAACTTCCCAAATATGCACGTTAAAGTAACGCAAATTAACAGCGTCTAAGAATTTGAATGAAACCTGTTGTGTAATTGATTGGGGTTGTTGTAGCTTCTTCCTTTAATGTCGGTCTTATAGCTAGAGACGAGACGCGTTAAATTTGAGCAACATCTAGCCGACACACTGGGGTTAAAAATAGGAAATTGAAATGATACATATGACACGCTCATATCCTCTCTCCCACCTCACTTCCTCACTTCGTTAATTTTACGTATACTTGATGAGGTCCGTCAAAAACATGTGAATTTCTTTTCATTTTTCATTTCAGCTTTTGGAAGTAAAGTCTGATGATCTAGAACCCTGTTAAAGGGGTTATGGTGAAATAGCTTATTACATGGAATCTTAACGTGTTCTGTTTTTATTCAAATATATATATATATATATATATATATATATATATATATATATATATATATATATATATATATACCCTTAATACCCTTGGGAATGGTATAGATCCTCTTCTTCTCCCTCCAGCTATGGGTAAAATAACAGGACAGACTGGGTTCTATAGCCTTGGATGGCAACCGGTCTAGGAGAAGGACAACTCTGAAGTCAAAACCTGCGGAGGGTCGTTTGGGAACCTTGTGGCACTTAGTGCACCAGGTCTCTGTATTCGTCCCTTCAAAAAGTGTGGATGGTCCTGCACAAAGCCTTCACCAATATAATCAAATCTCATGAGCCGGTGTGGGAAACTGATCTGCTTGACCCTCATACGTAGAATTCGACGGGAGAGTCGACTATATATATATATATATATATATATATATATATATATATATATATATATGTGTGTGTGTGTGTGTGTGTGTGTAAAATTTCTCTTGATCAATTTTCATCAGCTTCGAGACATGCAGGAGAAAAAATGGCATAAACCCTAACATCTCGCAATTTCAACCGCAAAATTACTTGACCTATCTGACAATCTTGTACTTGGTTTACACCCACCCACGTACGTACACACACAGAGAGACACACACACACACATATATACTTGGGGAGCAACATTACTTTTAAAGATCATTTATTAAATACTGAAGACAAAGAAGATTTAATTAATTTTTTTATTTAATCTTTCCAGCACCCTTACGTTTCATCTTTTGGTAGGAGTAAGGAATTACAGAAAATTTCCTAAATTTTTTTGTTACAAGTGCTCTCGGCTACGAGCATATAAGTAGATAGATAGTGTTTAAAATCTATAGAGTGATAGAATTATCAGTAACCGATATATATATATATATATATATATATGGAGAGAGAGGGAGAATGAGAGAAACAGAAAGATAGACAGAGAATAAGAGAGAGAGACAGGGAAAGAAACAGAGATAAATTAAAGTAATATATATTAATAACAGTTATATATCTTTTTACACAACGGTTGCACAACTCTGAGTTTCATGCACGATGCAATCGTAATGTGCTGATTGAAAAGTGATCGTTGTAAAATTTGAATATTGATATTTATAATATACTGCTATGATACTGAAACACTTCATTTGTTTACGAAAAGATAAATCTCTATATGATTACATATCTCCACATACAAACAAATATATATATATAACTTAAATAAAAATATACAAATCTAATATATATTTTTAAATATAATATACATGTACGCCCATATATAATTTATATCCCCACATAAACAAATATATAAGCATATACATATACATATATATGGATAGGTATATACAAATATTATATTACAATATATCGCCTGGAATATGATACTTGTGTACACGTTAATAACGTGTACACAAGTAAATACATAACAAATGAAAATACAAACCGATAAATACACACACACACACACACACACACACACACACATATATATATATATATATATATGTGTGTGTGTGTGTGTATACACCTGCACACATAAATATAAATAACATATATGTATATGTTATTTATATTTACACAAACATATACATGTATATATATGTAACTTTCGCTTCGCAGATGCCTCCTCCGAAAATACCTCCCGTAGAAGAGAACATGATTAAGGGTTGTGTGTTGCCCCCTCCTCATGCAGCTATGGTCAGAAATCTAACGGTGAAACAAGCCGCCCCCCTTAGGATAAGACTGCAGGAACATCGTAAAACCGTAACACGAGCAGAAATAGAAAAATCAGTCGTAGCTGACCACAGATGGAGGGAAAAGTGAGAATACTGCCTTCTATGGGATGAAGTTGAAATAATAGACAGAGAACATCACTGCAAAATTCGAAAACTAAAGGAATCAGCGCATATGCTAGGCCACAAACATATCCCAAGCCGGCCAAGCATAGAAATGAATACAATAAGTGAACCAGTAATACGGAGTGTTAGGGGGAAAATATTAAAAATAAAATTGCAATATCTCTAGTAAAAAATTCTTACTCAGACACTCCGTTTATAAGTCATAAAAATTCATAAACTCAAGGGAACTTGGCACAGTGGAAAAAAGCGTTGTGATTTAACCCAAAGAATTATGAGTTCAATAAGTCTATACATATACATATATATGGATATATAGTTCAATAACTGGCAACAGTTGAGCTTTGAGCCAAAGATAATTGATACTGAGGCATCCAGGAGAGACATGGCACGTGGAACTAGTACAATATATCCAGGTGGACGAACTAAAAGGTTCAATTGGAGATTCTAATCAATTGAAGAAAGCCAGGTCGTACAACGGCCGAAACGTTGTGAATATGGCAATATAAACGAGGAAATTATTAATCCGATCAATTTTATTACTTAAACATTATTTTAGTGGATACTTAAATTTGAATATTTATCGCATTTATCTATTGAAAGTATATTTATTTGTTTTCACCTACTGGACTGAATATTGAAGTAATATTAATGGACAAATATATACTCCCCGGCAGGATTCAACCTGCAATCTCATAGGGGTAGCCATTTTTGACATGCTATTAGACATCTCGGCCAAAGACTGTGTCGATGGTTGTTCAAGGAATGTCGAACAGAGGCTGAGCTATCTACACTGTTCAGTCTTGGTAGAAATTTCTTTATCTTCCGACTATTTAGGACACAACCAGAGACGTCAGCCTATTATTACTCCGTTACTATTGTCATCTATTCCACTTATACTAATAATCCACTCTTCCTACCTACTTTTTCATTAATATAACAGCACAACCACTTTAACAGAGGTTCTTTTGCCATATATTGGGCGAATTCTTTTACAAAAAGCCATACGCCCTTCACTTACATAAACATAGGATAAAAACCTACCATAGACCACAAAACAGTCTAAAAATACTCACTCAGATATTACCATGGGCGTAGATATGCATATATACATTCGCAACTTCAAACACATGCACAGCATACACACCCGCACAAACGTAAGCATGAAAATTCACTTATATATTTGTAGATATATCCATGTATGAATATATAACGAAATTCACATAAGCACTTATTTTTCATTTGAAATTACTCAACTTCAAATCGGTGACTCATATTCATATAAATGAAATTAAATACATACTATCAACAAAAGATAAAGATCGATATTTCTTACATATGACCACATTACTCTTGCCAAATACGCTTTACTGCTTTACACAACTTATTCTTTCTTTTCTTTTTGACTATCTTGTATTGTGGGTGCCCAAAATGTCTCCACATCTCTCGGTAACCCGTTAGTTTCTTTTGATCCTTGCACGTGAACACACTCAAGCGAGTTTTGGTTCCCAACACCCAACTCCACAGCTGCACGCGACAGTGCTTTGATCTTCAAATAGATATTCACTGAATTCGCTTTCTCTCCCGAGTTATTCAGTATCCAGTCCGAGTTGATTTGATTGAACTTGTAAATGTCGATGTTCGATTAGCGCTGATTTTGTATCCGTCACTAAAAACGGATAATTCGGTTACTATTTTAATTATCATTTTCCCTTGGATTCTCTGTCTTTCTTTCTTTCTTGGTATATTCATATCTATCTATCTATCTATCTATCTATCTATCTATCTATCTATCTATCTATCTATCTCAGTCTATAGATTAATAGATATGAACGGTTTTTAATAGATATCAACTGACAGAGATAGATATAATCAGATATAGATAGATAGATAGATAGATAGATAGCCTGCTGATAATGCAAATGATTATATATGTGTTTAATGTCAACATTAATAAGAGAAGGGACGACATTTTGATGCTACAGTTGTATATGACAATCATACAGAGCTAATGTAAATATATTCATCCTTTTTCAATTGACATTACCTTAAAATCTCACAGAATCAAAATAATTATGTTTTTGTGCCGTTAATTTCTATGGCAATGTGCATTTGTATAAGTATACCTAGTACTGCATCAATTTAAAAAATATTTTACTCGCTCTGAATACTTAATATTCAATGTCCTCCTGTAGATACGGTTTAAACTTTCGTAAGGAAAATAGAGAACATATCTGAATCATGAATGCTTATATATTTCCAAAAACTCAATTAGGCTCACTGAGTTCTTGCAACAAACAAATAACACGTATCTATCTATCTATCTATCTATCTATCTATCTATCTATCTATGTGTGTGTGTGTCCGTGCGTGTGTATGTAGACTGTATGAAAGATTAAATTTCTTTTAGGATTTTTCTTTTTAATAAGAGTGAAATCTCCTGACGAGCAGACGCATTGGGTCCAAAAAATATATTATGGATTATTATGGATATTATTGACTTTCTTCATATATACAAATTACTTCGACCGATTTTAAATGTGAATTAAGTTTGAAATCATTGGAACACACTTTATAAAGATAGAAAAAAAGGTTAAAATACTGAGAGAGTATATGAATGCGTATATATTTCCAGAAACTCCATTAGGTTCACTGAGTTCTTGCGACAAATAAGTAATGCGTATCTATCTATCTATCTATCTATCTATCTATCTATCTATGCATCTATGCGTGTCCGTGTTTGTGTATGTGAACTGTATGAAAAATAAATTTCTTTTAGGATTTATCTTTTTTATAAGAATGAAATCTCCTGACGAGTGGATGTATTGGGTCCGAAAATATATATTATGGATTATTATGGATATTATTGACTTTCTTCATATATACATATTACTTCGACCGATTTTAAATGTGACTTAAGTTTAAAATCATTGGAACACCCTTTATAAAGATAGAAAAAAAAAGGATGAAATACTGAGAGAGTATATGGGAAAAGGAAAATTGTGAAAATAAGAAAATGACACGATATTCTACATATGTGTTTATGCACACACGTAGAGGCGCACAAACGCAAATATATAGAGACGCGCGTGCACATACACACGCTCGGAGACATTCGAGCCACCGTCAGATTCAATGTGCTGTAAGCCACACGCCTATGGAACCCCTTACACCAAGCGGGGTTGTCTTTGATCAGTTTATTGTCCGAAAGGTACACAAGCCAATTTCATTTTAAATTTGACGTGATCTTTACACGCTTAAATAAATAACGGCAAATTTTACGGCGAAATTGATCCGTCCTCGTTGATTTAGAAAGTGCTCAATACCTAAAACACTAAGAACGCTTACCCTTAAATGATATACTTAACTCACCATGATATTACATTTTCCCAGTTCGTATCTTCAGACTGGAATAAACAGACGAGCCGGAAGAATCAAAAGTTGAAATTGCAGATGCGTATGATGTTTATATATATATATATATATATATATATATATATATATATATATATATATATATATGTGTGTGTGTGTGTGTGTGTGTGTGTGTATAAAATCAAATGGATAACTATAGGTAAATGTACGAGCATATGTATATAATGTATAGTGTAAGAAAAACAGAGCTCAATATTAAGCAACAGAGCTATTTAATATATTAAAATATATGTACATAATGACCTACATAGTTTGCACAACTCGGATTTTTATGCTTTATGCAATCGTCAGGTGCGAATTTTTGGGTTAACAAAGTTAATTAGTATTTCTGGTTATCGCGAGATATTTTAATGTTAGAGTAGATTATTATTGTTGTTAATTATGTAAATGAATTGGCCTTAAATATTGAAATTGAATTTAGGCCCAGATTAACTTTTAATATTGAAATTAAGATTGAAAATATGAATTATAAATTCTAATTTAAAAACAGATACTCTTGTTATCAAAATGAAAAAAAGAAGCGTTTGGAAATCAAAGAGACAATAACACTATTTTCTACATGGAAATCAATAAAAGGTTAATAATATTATTAAATGGGCCCGGCTTGACTATATTAATCTTGGACAACGTGTCTGAGTAGAAATGTGATTCTAGGTAGAGAGGTGCTCATTAAATCACTCTTTTTGTTTAAGAGATTAGGATTCTTCAGGGTTTCTTTAGGATCTTTAGTTTATTCAGAAAGACGTATGTTATATCTGCCGCTTTTTCTCGCTGAAGGGTTTAGCCTATTTTACTGGTTCCAAGGTGATACTTGGGTTTAATCTAACAATTGGAAAATTTTGCTGTTACGGGATTTGGACAATTTTGTTGTTACAACCAGTATATATATATATATATATATATATATATATATATATCATAATTAAGTAATACATCTTGTCTAGAAGAAACCTCAACAGAATGCAGAAAGCACTGGATTTGGGACTCATCAGAAGTGCGCATCTATTGCCGAGAATTGAAACTCAGTCAATTAAGATATGAGGCAAAAATCCTACCAACTGTAAAAACAAAACTCGGCGACGAAGAGGTAACGAAATAGACTTGATACAGCGCCGCTCGATCACATAGGACTGTGCCTCCACAAACTACTATCCCCACGCCGCTCCATCCAGAATATTAGAAGCCAAATACAGGACAAAACGGCTTACTGTCTTCTGTTGAGGTTTCTTTTAGACCCGATGAATTACTTAATTATGATTATCTCAAATCCTCCTAATTTTTACCACACACACACACACAACATATATATATATATATATATATATATATATATATATATATATATATACAGTGTAACCCGGATATAAGAGAAACCCGGATATAAGAGAGATTTTCTCTGGTCCCAAAGTGTTCCCATACTTACCTAAACAAAATAGACCAAACCCGGATATAAGAGACTTCTTCTCCGGTCCCGACAATTCTCTTATATCCGGGTTACACTGCATATGGTATAAAATGAGAATTGAAAAAAATCTTAGATTTTGCCGACGCGTTTTTTCTTCCGACTTTTTCAAAGCAAAAATGAAATCTAAGATTTTTTCCAATTCTCATTTTATACCAATCTGTCTTGTCCACAGAATTGATCTGGAAATTTAACTATATATATATATATATATATATATATATATATATATATATATATATATGTGTGTGTGTGTGTGTGTGTGAAGGGTGAGAATGGGTCTTTATGGTAGCGGTTACTAGTCTGGAAACCAGGTCTTGAGTGAGTGTTATAATTCCAGCTTACATTTATGTACTATCTGATTTAGGAATTAAACAAGACACGTTTCAATATCGCTTTTCTTCCCCATGTTAACTAAGACACTAAATTAGTATTAGTATGTTCCTTGTTCACATATTCAGTATGGATTTTATATCTTTATTTATATACTAAATTTGTTTCAATTAGATCTTTTGAATAATGGTGTGGGAATACGCTCACTTGTCTTAGGAAGGCGTCTAGAAAATTCAAATACGAATTAATGATTTTATTTAGAGCCTTCCATTCCATATTGATCGTTATAAATTTTTATACTTTCTTATCATTGGGAACTGCTTTTCAAAAGAAGAAAAGTATTAAAACACATGGTACTTTCATCTTACCTGCCGGCATATTTCCCCAGAGAATCTTTATTTATATGTTTGCTTTTAGGCAGGAAATTGACTTCTGATTTACGTCTGAAGCGATCGAAGATCTCATTCCTGAAAGAAAATGAGTGAGAATTCTTCAAGGCACACAATACTTGTGGAAAACACTCGAAAACAAGTTTTGGAATTTCGATTAACGAGAACGGCGCTTATTTCGGTCGAATATATATATATATATATATATATATATATATATATATTATGAAATGAACAATGTCCGACAATTATTTTAAGATATTTTTATGTTTAAAATTCTTTTTATAGATACAAATATTTAAATAAATGCTCTGTTTATGATAAACAATATTAAACAACATTTACCGGGGGAAGAATATTTCTGTGAAAATTTCTCGGACATTCAGACCGGTAAAAGTTGTTTATTACTGTTTATTATAAACAGAGCATTTACTTAATATTTGTATCTATAAAAAAGAATGTATAAACATAAGAATGCCTTAAAATAATTGTCGGACTTTGTCTATTTCATAAAGTGTGACGTCATTTGTTTACATTTCATACGCCATTAGCAGACATGAATGCACGAGAGAGATTCATGGAAGATTGAAGTTTAAATACAGTAAATTCAACCTTTCTAACCGAACGCTCCTTTGTGGCCAAATTGGTAAAGGCACGTCAAGCTAAATGGCGGCTCCGTTCGGATCCTGTCGGAGGACGAATATTTTCTGTGAAAATCTCTCAGACATTCAGGAGGGTAAATGTTGTTTAATACTGTTTATTATAAACAGAGCATTTACTTAAATATTTGTATCTACAAAAAGAATGTATAAACATGAGAATATCTTAAAATATATATTTATATTTGTGTGTGTATTGGCTATATATGTTAGATAACGATATATATTTTTTTATATATCAAGAACAATAATGGGGAAATTGTATGACAGAGTGGAAAAGAGTTCAGCCGTGAAGCGTCTCTTCCCCATCGGACTAAATATATTGTATTGGTACCAATATATATGTGCACGAACCAGGAGTGCTGCGGATTTTATAATTTTTTTTTTTATAAACCCAGCGAACTCATTTCCTTCTACCACTTTTGCCCGCAGGTATCTCACACGATGATAATAAATGGTCTGCCAAAAATGGTGAAATATTGTAAGAGTGTAATATTGTAATAGAGGACTCTGCGATCAAGTCATTCTCCAGAAATTTAAGTCGCAGCTCATTGCTTTCTCCTTTGATCAAAGCAGCACCATTTATGTCAAAACCGTTATATATATATATATATATATATATATATATATATATATATATATATATATATATTACGGAGGTGTTGAGGCCTCACACTTATACACACACACACACACACACACGGATATACACACTTACACACATCATACTCACTCACTCCCTAATGAGCCAAATGATAACACACACCCACAGCAATACACACGCTTACACATATCATACTCACTCACTCCCTTAGAACCAAATAACACACACAAAAACACTAAACAGAGACACATCTCCTCTCCAGGACCAATAAAACTGTCAAACTGACCAAGCGAATTCAGGGAAGCATAGATCCATCCAGCTCTTATCTGAAATAACAACTTAAAATAGACTGTTTGACCAACACAAGAAATGTTAAAAGATTCATGTTAAAAAGATAAAAAAATAAAAAAAACAAATGAAAACTACAGACAAAAGTTCATTTTCTCCAGCAAGACATTCATTTCTGTAGTTTACTGCTACCAGCAAGCAGAAATATTTCTTCTCCCGATGATGGCCATTTTGCCCGAAACTAGTCGAGGAATCTAAAGAAAATAATTATAAAAAAAAACGAAAGAATATTAATCTACAACCCAGTGTGTCTGAAGATTTTAATTTTTTAATATTTTTTATTCTTCAATATATATATATATATATATATATATATATATATATATATATATATATATATATATATATATCATATATATTTCAAAGGTAAGACGCTTTAAGGCAGATGCATTCATGCGGAAACGAATTCGATATTCACCCCACCCACCCCGAAAAGTGCTCCCATATTTTCAAGAAAGTCTCATTGCAAACACGTTTTTCTTATTTTTGTAAGGCGTTGCTTGACCTTTCGAAAGTCTTATACAAATTTCTAATTGTT